CCCCAAAACCCCAAAACCCCAAAACCCCAGGGAGAAAAAATAAGAAAAAATGATATTATAGATAAATTATCGGTCAAAGAAATAATTAAATTTAAATTCTATCACACAATGGACTCTTGTAATTATTGAATTCCCCATCCATTATTCCTTTAGAATAACAATCGAAAGATTAATCTCTAACTAAGCAAAGTACTTTTAGACCTCCAATAGCTTTGAAGATTTAAGAAAAGCTTGTGACTGACTTTCAGAAATAGCTAAGATTTAAAATAGTGTAGAGCTAAAAGGCATTACTATATGACAAATGATCTCGAGCAAGCAATGATGAGAAAGTCTTTGATAAATAAAAGATAAAAATTAAGGATGGTGATGCTTAGGGACCAACTTAGAATGGATAAAATTCTGGAGGACGAAGGCTTAACTCTTAATTTCTAGGTCATTTAATAGATAATAGTCAAAGAAGAAGCTCGTCAAACAGACTTTAAAGCGGACATAAAATCTCTAACTCCTCTAACTATGATTGGAGTAACTCTAAGAGAAGAAATAATCCGAAGGATAAACTAAGCAGTTCTAGGCTTAACACTTACTTAGACGTTCCAGATTAATGTTCAACAAAGGATAAGGAAGAATCCTTTGAATATCATGATAAAAAGACGAATGTAAAACTTACGCACATTAAGAGAAGTAATGTAGATCAAGTTGGCTTAGAGAAGCATCTTTCAGACCTGCATTATTCAGGTAAGATTTATATACTTCTAAAGCATTTTATACATAGATCCATTCTTTGATGGAATGCCACCTATAATTTTTACTGATAGTCATAACTTCTAAACAAATTAGTCTCTGTTTGATGGATGGAAATTATTTAGTAACTAAATACTAGGTTACTTTGCACCTAAATCACCATTCTATGTTTGGCATAATGTTGTGACAAATGATGATTAGACCTTTTACAAATCTAATGTATTAAAAAATAGTAGGTCGGAAAAGCAAACACTTCCAAAAGCGTAGATGGTGGATGAAATCAATCCTGATTTCAAGATAAAATCTAAAGGTAGTAAATGGATTAAGAATAAGTAGAAGTAAAGGCTTAATTCTAAATTGGACAATATGATTTTTTAGACTTCATAAAATCAATCATAACAGTCTACGAGTAAATTTAGGCCCATAATAAAAACACCTTCTTCACAATTAGCTAAGAATAAAAGACAATAATATCAAAATCGACTAGATATGATTAATGACTTTAGGCTGTTTTCTGATAATTTAATCGTAAATGGTAAACTTAAATAAGCTAGAAAGTCAAAGATTTTTAAGAAACAGAAATCGCTGGTATCTATCAAATTTTAAGATGATTTCAAATAAGAAATGTATGATGGAAGATAACTAAGATGTAAATCATGCTTTTGCTAAAGATGTGGTGGAGCAATAAGATAGTAAAAGTAAGATTTTTTCCCCAGATTATAAATTTAATCTTATAGAAAGCTTTAAATAAGCATAAACTAGAATTAAATGTACAAATTTTAGGAATATGAGGAGGAGGAAATAGATAACTTTCATAGGATCGTATATCTTTTTTCATATTTCATCGATTTTATAGTACTCGAATGAATTTAAGAAATGCTCTAAAGGCCCAAGTTTAATGCGACATATTACAACTAAATTTCAAAAAGAGTAGATAGAATTCTCTAGTCCTACTTCATCCATCATATCAAGAGTTTCATTAGACAAAGATTCCAGAAGTTTGATAAGGAGGGAGAGTCAAGCTATGATTGAAAATACTCTTATTGATTAGATGATAATAGAAAAACCAAAGAGGAGGACACTGTCTCCAAGTTTCAAAAAGAACATTAAGAGATTTCAAACAATGAAGCAAGGAAAGGAAGATAAGACTTATTGCGATTTGTAAGATATGCATGAGAGCTAGAATGAGACTATTGGAAACTAAGAAACTGTAATGAATTTTAAGATCAAAATCTAGGAAGCTCAGATACCTAGCTTAATTTCAAGTTAAAAAAATAGAATACTTTTGGAGGAGCATAAAAATAAAATAGATATGTATACAAAACTGAAGATTACTAATTATGAACGACTTTTCTAAGCGAGAGAGCATCAAAGAAGTGAATTGCCAGGGCTATTTACCAAACATAAAAGAAACTTCTCGCATAGTCCAAGACAGCTCTAACAACTATTCCAAAATCTAATGTAAAGTAAAGATTAGTCAAGAAATGCAGAGAGCAGCAGCAAATATGATTATAATTCACTCTAAATGTAATCTCAATAGAAATAAAAGAATTTTAATTCAGCACAAAAACTAAACTCAATGCTTTAGACTCAAAGCATTTACAGCAGCAAATAGCAACAAATTAACAAGCTTATGTCTTTTGAGAAGACTAATAGTAAGCAATTGTAGAATTAGGAGTCTAATTTGATGATTAATAATAGAATGTATAAAAGACCTCAAGTGTAAAAATGCTAAAATAATATGGTAAGGCTATTTCAAACCTCTAAGTCCCCTTAATAATAAACAGCTAAATCTTAAAATCAGATAAATAATGAATACATTCTATCTTAAAAAGTTAAATTTAATAAAAAATTGTCTCAAGCAAGCAATAATAATCATCTTAACATTTTAAGATCAAGCAAAATATACTCACAAACAAGTATATCAATGAAGAAATGATGACTTAAATAAATATGAAATTCTAATAAGTGAGAGTATTGATCAAACTTTATTATTTAAATTATGCTTTTGACTTTGATACTTTTTAAATTTTAAATGATTTTTTATATTCAATCTTGATTCCACGGGGTTTTGGGGTTTTGGGGTTTTGGGGTTTTGGGG